GCTGCAGAAAAGAAAATCCAGTGGGGATGAAAAGCTGCCCCTCCTTTTTATTTTTATTTTTCTTTCTTTCTTTCTTTCTTTTTTTTTTTTTTTTGCAAGAAACGCCAATAGATTTTAATGTAAGAGAAAACGAAGAGTTCACTGAAATGGTTCAGCTCCACATAGCAGTTAATCTCGAAAAAACTACTTGAGTATCGATATCATATCAGAGAAGAATATTCACAGTAATCTGAAAAAGCTGTTAGAATACCCCTTTCTTCCAACCACCTAAGTGCACGAGACTGGCTTTTCTTCACTTCCTTCAAAGAAGACAATTTATCACAATAGATGGAATGAGGAAGCAGACACAAAAATTCTCATGACATCTAATTCGTCAGGCATCAAAGAGATTTACAGAAAATGTAAAACGATGCCACTCTTCTCATTATTTCTATTTTTGAATGTGAAAAATATAAACATTCTATCAAAATGTATTATAAATTGAAGGAAAACGATTTGTGGGCTCAGGGACGGCCATCCAGAGTCCAGAGTCTCCAATCCCAGCCCCATGTCTGGGTCACGGATTCTGCAGGCGAGTCTTCAGAGTCTGCTGTTGAGACTAGTGACAGGAACAGCCTCAGTGCTCGCCTGGGAGGCTGTGCTGTCACCATGGAGACCGAGCCTCTCCCCAGGAGGCTGTGCTGTCATCGTGGAGACCCAGCCTCTCCCCGGGAGCCACTGCTCACAGCCTAGTGTCCTTCCCAGAGAAGACGCTTCCTCCAGGCTGGACTCCGGAGAGCACCAGGCCACGGAGGGCTCCGCAGCTCCATCCACGCCGCCCCGGTCAAGCCTTTCTTCCAGAAAGGTCCGGCAGCCGGGCTGCACCTGCTCTCGGGGCGAGCTCTGCGGCCAGTGCCGCTAGGGGTGCGGGGTGGAAGCGAGACCGTCCCTTGCTCATTTGCTCAGGGATAGGCGGAGCGTGTTCCCTGTGCCCTCGCCGTGTTCTGGGCCTGCGCCGGCACTCGGGACACCCAGAGGGCGCGCAGGTGCCTCCGGCACTGACGGACCGCGGTCTGGGTGAGGGAGGGTCAGTCAGACAGGCGGTCACACGGATCAGTGTGTGTTTTCCATGGCGGCTCCGGAGCAGTCAAGGAACCGGACCCAGACCAGAGGTGCTCCTAGGAAGCCGTGTGTGTCCACAATGGGAAGCATGTGAGGGCGACGTGTGTGCATGTGTGTGTGCATGCACATGTGTCTGCGTGTATGCACGTGTGCGTGTGCATATGTGTTTGCGTGTGTGCACGTATGCGTGTATATATGTGTGCACATGTGCGTGTGTGCATGTGTGCACGTGTGCGTGCATATATATGTGAGTGTGTGAAGGAGCGGGCAGTATGGGCGAGGGGCCTGTGGCAGAACCGGGAAACGAGTGCCCTACCCCACCCCAGCGCATTCAAATCCAAATGCAAAATGCACCGTGGCAGCCAAACCAAACACCTGGGGAGCAATTTTGGCTAAGGGACCGTGAGTTTGGTATTTCTCCTTTAAACAATTTAAACAAATTTAAGCCCAGAGAAGTAATAAAAAATTTCACTGTACTTTTGGGTTGTGGGCCAAGCCTTTTCTAATGGTTTGAATCCTCAAGGCGGTTAGGGTAAAGGAGCAGGACCAGAACACATCCTGCAGTGCGATATTCCCCAATCACCTTGCAAAGCGGGATTCTAATATCCCTCTGGTGTCACCTGGTCTCTCTCTTTCTCTAAGGAGACGCTGCAGTTTCTCCTGTGCCCCAGGCAGAGCAATGCACCCAGCGAGGAAAGGTATAAGCGCATGGGATTAATAGAAAGGAAGAAGGTTGTCACTTTCGAAATCAGAAGCCAAGGAAACGCCTTTTCTCATGCCTTCTGGGCATGTCCCCAGGGGGTAGTTTTATTAGAGAGTCTGCCTCCAAGTACAACCAGGGCTGTGAATAGCCCTGACCCTGCCCCGGCTGACCCTTAGATTAAGATTAGCCCAGCTCAGGCCGCGAGGTCACGCAAGGACACGGATCTGGGGTGAGCAGCCACTCAAATCCCGATGCCGGGAGCCTTGTGCAAAGGGTGCTCAGGTAACGTGTTTCCAGGAGAAGAACAACCGCGAGCTCCTCTCTCATACCGAGAGTGAGCAGCGCTAGCGGCTCGTAATCGGGGGAACCTCCCACCTCAGAAACGGCCCAGGGAGGGAAGAAGCAGAAAGGGGCAGGGCCGCAGGGCTGGTTAAGGTCACGGAGCGGCTGCGCAATGTCATCGCTGTCCCCAAAACGCCACAGAGAGCAGCTCACACAGGTGATGGCGACTTGGTAGAATTCTGAGCCCCTCGGCAAAAGCTTGTCCTCTCTGGGCTGCATTTGTGCAATAAGGATAGTACCAGTGTCTGCCTTCCACATGTGAGTGGGCCGTTGTGAAAATTAGATTATGTGTGGCACAGCACCTCACAGCGACAAGATAATGCGATGTAATAATCATAATAAAGACAATTATAGGCCGGGCGCGGTGGCTCACACCTGTTATCCTAACACTCTAGGAGGCTGAGGCGGGAGGATCGTTTGAGCTCAGGAGTTGAAGACCAGCCTGAGTAAGAGCGAGGCCTCAGCTCAACTAACAAAATAGAAGTTAGCTGGACAACTAAAAATGTATAGAAAAAATTAGCCGGGCATGGTGGCGCATGCCTGCAGTATCAGCTACTCGGGAGGCTGAGGCAGGAGGATCGCTTGAGCCCAGGAGTTGGAGGTTGCTGTGAGCTAGGCTGACGCCACGGCACTCTATCCCGGGAAACAGAGTGAGACTCTGTCTCAAAAAAAAAAAAAAAAGATAATTATAGGAAACACAGAGCAATTTGCAATTTGCCAGGCACGGTTCCAAGCATTGATGTTCATTATTTTACTTAGTTCTTGTGGTACCTTCCATATGAGGCAGGCTCTGCTGTCACCTCTGTTCTCCAGGTGGGGAGACAGAGCCGTGGGTGACGGGAAAGCTTGCCCAGGGCAGGCGGGAGGACCGGGCTGGGTGTGAAGCGTGCATTCGGCTCCTCTTAGTCCCTGCGGTTACTGGGAAATAACCACAGCCAGAGCCAGATCACAGAGTGACAGCTCCCTGCAGGGCCAGCGTTGAATCCTGGCTTCACGGGCTGTGCATCAATAATTCTACAACCTGTTAATGTATCCGTGATTAATAACCCATTAACCACTTCAGCATGACGCTCACCGGCCGCGACACCCCGCCCACAGCCGCACTCACAGCCCTCATGGTAGTGGTGACGGGTCCATTCTGCTCTTGTGTAATGAGGAAAGCCTGAAAGCACTGCAAGCTTGTTTCACTTTACAGGCAGCTTTACCTGTCATGTAAATAAGAACAGGTAACATGTACATATATGTTTTCATGACGTTATTTTTAAATGTTCACAGTTTTATTTTGATAAATGAAAAATTAGAAAAGTCATATCACGGCTGTCGGCTAAAGTCCACCCTCGGCTGTGCGCGCCCATCTGTGGCTGTCGACTACAGTCACTGTGTGCGTCCATCTGTGGCTGTCGACTACAGTCACTGTGTGCGTCCATCTGTGGCTGTCGACTACAGTCACTGTGTGCGTCCATCTGTGGCTGTCGACTACGTCACTGTGCGCGTTCATCTGTGGCTGTCGCCTATAGTTGACACTCAGCTGTGCACCTTCATATCACGGCTGAAGGCTACAGTCGACACTCGGTTCATCTGTGGCTGTCGACTGTAGTCGACACTGGGCTGTGCACCTTCATATCACGGCTGTCGACTGTAGTCATGCTCGGTTCATCTGTGGCTGTCGCCTACAGTCGACGCTCGTACCGAAGTGGCTGATAGCCATGGCAGGCTTTTGACTCTGTCTGAACTCCAGTTTGCCCGTTTGTAGGATGGAGGTGGACAATAGCACTAACACTTACTTGCAGGTGCTTGGTGCGGACTGACTGAGAAAACACGAAAACCGTAGTGTCTGATCCAACGGGGGCTTGAGCTGCATTATTATCACTTACCGGGGTGGACGTGGCTGCTCGGGTCAGGCTGCCGTAGAGAAATCCCACAGGCCGCATGGCTTGCGCGGCAGAAATGTGCCTTCCTGCAGCTCTGAGACCGAGGTCAGCCCGGGGCGCCGCAGGGCTGACTCTGTAGGCCTCCCTCCTAGTTGTTGCCGCTCGCTGCGTCTGCGACTGGTTTTCCTCTGTGTGCAGGAGAGATCTCCGGTGTCACCTTCATCCTATAGGGACACCAGTCCTATTGGATCAGGGGCCCCACCACGGGGACCTCATTTAACCGTATTCCTCCCTTAACATGGTCGCATTGGGTGTTAGCCTCAACACACGCGTTTTGGGGGACGTGACTCAGTCCATCTCAGGGTGGCTGGGGAGGGCGGAATAGCAGGATCGAAGGCTGCATCCGAGCATGTCCATGTCTGAGGTCCATCTCTCAGGTGTCCCTTCTGAAGCGAGGAGAGGCTGCCAGCTACCACGTTTCCCTGAAAATAATACAGGGTCTTATATTTATTTTTCCTCAAGAAGACGCCCTAGGGCTTATTTTCAGGGGACGTGTTATTTTCCCCTCAAAGCCTCAGCTTGCAGCACGCACAGGATTGCTGGGACCTGACAGGGGAGCCGACCTTGCTGGTGGGGCTGCCCGCACCTTTCCGGTCACCTCTGGGACAGCAGCTGTCAGGACGGGGCAGATGAGAAGGGCTGCTCGTGTTCTTTCCCGCTCCGCGACGACGCGCATGGGTTGTGCAGACGCGCTGCGCAGCCACGCCCGTCACTAGGGCTCATTTTCGGGGTGGGTCTTCTATTGCGCACATGCTTAGAAATCCTGCTGGGGCTTATTGTATGGGCAGGGCTTATTTTCGGGGAAACGCGGCGGTCCTAGCAGATCACCAGGTGTGTAATCTGTTCCACATCGCCTGTCCTGTCGCCTGCCTTCTCCCTGATGCCATGGAAACGTCTCCCTCCCGTCTGCTTCTGCCGTCCAGGTGAGCCGGAGTTCAAGTACATCGGGAACATGCACGGCAACGAGGCGGTCGGGCGGGAGCTGCTCATCCTGCTGGCCCAGCACCTGTGCAACGAGTACCAGCAGGGGAACGAGACCATCGTGAACCTGGTGCACAGCACGCGCATCCACATCATGCCGTCGCTGAACCCTGACGGCTTCGAGAAGGCCGCCTCGCAGGTGAGCGCCGGGCGGGCCCTGCCCTCGTGCACGTCTGTGGGTATCTGGGAATGAGCACACCTGCACCCAGACCCTGCAGGTGAGCGTGGGGGGCGGGCCCTGCCCTCTTGCATGTCTGTGGGTATCTGGGAATGAGCACACCTGCACCTAGACCCTGCAGGTGAGCGTGGGGGGCGGGCCCTGCCCTCGTGCACGTCTGTGGGTATCTGGGAATGAGCACACCTGCACCCAGACCCTGCAGGTGAGTGTGGGGGGCGGGCCCTGCCCTTGTGCACGTCTGTGGGTATCTGGGAATGAGCACACCTGCACCCAGACCCTGCAGGTGAGTGTGGGGGGCGGGCCCTGCCCTTGTGCACGTCTGTGGGTATCTGGGAATGAGCACACCTGCACCCAGACCCTGCAGGTGAGCGTGGGGGGCGGGCCCTCCCCCTCTCACATGTCTGTGGGTGTCTGAGAATGAGCACACCTGCACCCAGACCCTGCAGGTGAGCGTGGGGGGCGTGAGTGGCAAGGAGCTCAAAGCAAGGGACGGCGGGTGAGTTTCTTCAGCAGATGCTGGACGAGAAAGCTCGTCGATAAGTGGATGTTTGATTGTTGCTTTGTTCATGTTGTTAAATGAATTCTATTTATTCACCATCCTCTGTGGCCAGGCGGGCTTTCTGCCCAAGTCCACAAGTGTGACAGCAGGCCCTGTCCACCTGCAGGGACAGGCGGAGCTGGTGTTGTGGCGCCCTCTGCTGGATGCAGGGAGAAAGACGCGGGCCAGAGGACACTTGCCTGGCCCGCCCTGGGTTTCTGTGTGGGATGAATGGAGTGAGGCAGACAAGCAAGGCCATACCTCCTAACTACAAACAGTTTAGTGCACCTTGACTTTTAGACAAGCTGGAAATTAATAACTTTTTTTTTTGAGACAGAGTTTCACTCTGATGCCCAGGCTAGAGTGCTATGGTGTCAGCCTCGCTCACAGCAACCTCAAACTCCTGGGCTCCAGCAATCCTCCTGCCTCAGCCTCCTGAGTAGCTGGGACTACAGGCACACGCCACCATGCCTGGCTAATTTTTTCTATATGTTTTTAATTGGCCAATTAATTTCTTTCTATTTTTAGTAGAGACGGAGTCTTGCTCTTGCTCAAGCTGGTCTGGAACTCCTGAGCTCAAATGATCCTCCTGCCTCGGCCTCCCGAGTAGCTGGGACTACAGGCGTGCACCACCACACCTGGCTAATTTTTTCTATATATATTTTTAGTTGGCCAATTAATTTCTTTATTTTTTTTAGTAGAGATGGGGTCTCGCTCTTGCTCAGGTTGATTTCCAACTCCTGACCCGGAGAGATCCTCCCGCCTCGGCCTCCCATAATGCTAGGATTATAGGCGTGAGCCACCTTGCCTGGCTAAAATTAATAATTTTTTAAGAGAATATATATGTTGTGTGTTTCCATTTTGATTGGATGGTTTGAGGAACACTATATTTTCTGTTTTCTATATTTTGCAATAATTTTCTTATTTTATGGGGACACATTAAAGCAAATATTTAGTATGTTTATCTACAGGTAAAAAGATCCATTGACATTGTAAGAAACCCAGATAGTGAATGTCTGTAAGTAAGTGTAACAGTGATATAATTTCTAAAGTTATAAGAGAAAGATTCTAGTGTCATATACAATTAAATTATTTAATATATATTTTTTTTCCTTTTTTTATTTTGGCATATTATGGGGGTACAGATTTTAAGGTTTCAATAAATGCCCATTTCCCCCCTCAAATTATTTAATATTTTAAGGTGATATTCAGAATCGTAAGACAGGTGGGAAGAAGATTATTATTGGTTTTTTCTTATAGATTTTTATTCCTCATCGTCTAAGGTATCTAAGCTTACATGATTTAAAAAATATGGGAAATATGTCTGTACCATGTGATATAATTTAGTAGTAAAACAGGAAAATTTACATCATAAAATAAAACTAAATATGTTGGAAATTTTTAAATTTTCCAGGTTGTACCATTAGTGACGTAAAGGATTTAAATTAAACAGAAACTCCTCAAATCATAAAGCCCCAGAACTTCTGTTCTAGAGCCCATGTTTTTCCATGAAGAGTAGAAAAGGGAGACATGTTACATAAACATATAAGTAACTCACATTCTATTCATTGTAAGCTTCTAATCTTATTCATGTATTCTTTTGACTATTTAAAAAAAAACAGGTTGCTGTGACTCACAGAGGCCATCTATATTTTACTCCAATCTAATAGAATGGCGTGGTTTGGAAACAGGTCGTCTATTGGTATAAATATATGCATTGACCTTTTTGCAATATGATCACAAATATCTCTTAAACATTACTACTATTACTATTTAAAGTACTGTTCATTGAACATTTAAAACACTGTTCAAAATGTTTTCACTGAAAATATTTTCAAAATACCTATAACAAATACATTCACGTGTTGCTTAGCAACCGGGACACACGCTGAGAAATGCACCGTCTGGTGATTTCGCCGCGGTGCCAACGTCACAGAACACGCTTACCCAGACCGGGTGGGCAGCCCGTGCTCCCAGGGTGCACGCCTGCTGTGCTGAGCACTCTAGGCGACTGAGACACAGTGGTGAGTGTTTGTGTGTCTAAACACGGAAGGCCGGGTGTGCGGTGGCTCACGCCTGTAATCCTAGCTGTCTGGGAGGCCCAGGTGGGAGGATCTCTCAAGGTCAGGAGTTCGAAACCAGCCTGAGCGAGAGTGAGACCCCGTCTCTACTATAAATAGAAATAAATTAATTGGCCAACTAATATATATAGAAAAAAATCAGCCAGGCATGGTGGCGCATGCCTGTAGTCCCAGCTACTCGGGAGGCTGAGGCAGGAGGATTGCTTGAGCCCAGGAGTTTGAGGTTGCTGTGAGCTAGGCTGACACCACGGCCCTCACTCTAGCCCGGGCAACAAAGTGAAACTGTCTCAAAAAAAAAAAACAAAAAAAAAACCTTGGTGTATTATTTTAGAGCATCGATAGAGAGTGCTGTCAGCCATCGACGAGGCGCTGTCGGTGACGATGAATGACTGATGATTCCCGTGGTTTTTTGCTCTTCAGCCTGGTGAGCTCAAGGACTGGTTTGTGGGTCGCAGCAATGCGCAGGGAATAGACCTGAACCGGAACTTCCCGGACCTGGACAGGATCGTTTACGTGAACGAGAAGGAAGGGGGCCCAAACAACCACCTGCTGAAAAACATGAAGAAGATTGTGGACGAAAACACAAAGGTAGGAGCATGGAGGTTCCTGGGTCTGTCCTCCAGCCTGGGGGGACGTGGCCGGCCTAATGTCCGAGCCACAGTGAAGGATGCACGAGTGAAGTCGGATCACGGGGTGGCGGCCCGTGGAAGTCAGAGGTGGGAGGGCTGGAGCTTGGAGGTTAGTCCTGGCCTTCAGGACCGGCCGACTCCCTCCACGGAGGCCCCCACGCCTCCTGCTGGGACCGGTGCAGTAGCCTCCCAGCTCCGCCCTGTGTCCAGCCTCTCCCAGCTCTGTTCAACCTTCCCAGCTTCCTCCAGAGTGGCCTTCCCACACAGATCATCACTCTTCTGCATAAATAAACCTTGCCGGCTCTCCCCTGCCGGGAGGATACCTCAAAAATTTGTCAGTGGTTCACGCCCTGGTTTTCCAGTTGCAAAGAGAAAAGGAAAAAAAAAAAAAAAAGCCTGTCAGCCCACAAAGAGCTTTGAAGGGAATTTCAGCGCTATTGAAATAATAGTTGTTGTTTTTTTTTTTTTTGAGACAGAGTCTCACTCTGTTGCCGGCAGTCAGCCTAGCTCACAGCAAGCTCAAACTCCTGGGATCAAGCGATCCTCCTGCCTCAGCCTCCCGAGTAGCTGGGACTACAGGCATGCGCCACCATGCCTGGCTAATTTTTTCTATATATATTAGTTGGCCAATTTCTTTCTATTTATAGTAGAGACGGGGTCTTGCTCTTGCTCAGGCTGGTCTCAAACTCCTGACCCTGAGCAATCCGCCCACCCCGGCCTCCCAGAGTGCTGGGATTACAGGCGTGAGCCACGGCGCCTGGCCAGGAATAATAGTTTTTTATTATATATTCTAGAAAGACAGGCTGGGCTCTCACAGAAACCTTTTTTGTGTGTGTGATGGAAACAACCGTGGGGTGGCTGCCGCGTGGCCGGCTCCCGGCCGTTTCTCTTGGCCGGTCTGTCCTGCCTGTCGCGCGGCCTCGCGGCGACTGCCCCGCCTCTGACCCTCCGCTCTCCGTCCCTGTGCAGCTGGCGCCCGAGACCAAGGCGGTCATCCACTGGATCATGGACATCCCCTTCGTGCTGTCCGCCAACCTGCACGGCGGTGACGTGGTGGCCAACTACCCCTACGACGAGACGCGCAGCGGTGCGTCCCCCGAGTCCCCGCCGGTCTGCGTCAGACGCCCGCTAGGCAGAGCCCGAGGTGGCGTGGGGGCTGGTGACGGGCCCGGTGGGCCTGGCGTGGTTTGCAGGGCACAAGTAAGAGTGCAGGGCGCCCGATTATGTCATTTGCTTGTTTTGAACTCCTGACCTTGAGCAATCCAGCTGCCTCGGCCTCCCAAGAGCTAGGATTACAGGCGTGAGCCACCGCGCCCGGCCATTTGCTTGTTTTTATGAGACAGAGTCTCACTTTGTTGTCCAGGCTAGAGTGAGTGCCGTGGCGTCAGCCTAGCTCACAGCAACCTCAATCTCCTGGGCTTAAGCAATCCTTCTGCCTCAGCCTCCCGAGTAGCTGGGACTACAGGCATGCGCCACCATGCCTGGATAATTTTTTCTTTATATATTTTTAGTCGTCCAGCTGATTTCTTTATTTTTAGTAGAGACGGGGTCTCGCTCTTGCTCAGGCTGGTCTCAAACTCCTTACCTTGAGCTATCCTCCCGCCTCGGCCTCCCAGAGTACTAGGATGACAGGCATGAGCCACTGCGCCCAGCCTATATTATTTATTTTAAAATACACATGGGAGATTTAAAAAAAAAAAAAAGACTCAGATGCTGAACAGCGGTGCGAGAGTGGCTCACAGAGGCTGTAGGGTCGGTATGGGTGCGTCTTTTTAAATTAGAGATGTTAACGATGGAAGTCTTCTTGGCAGCCTCCCAGTGTGCTATGACCTCGACTCTGTTTCTGCGAACCTGTCGAGTCCCAAGTGGAGTGTGCGTTCCCCCTAGGTGCTGCTCTGCAGTGTTAGAAGTGGAAGCGACAGGAGCTAAAAGCCGGGTGTGGCTGTTTCGTACCCGAGGCGAGGCTAGAAACCGCGGGGCCAGCGCTCACGCCTGTGCTCCCCAGTGCATAGTCTGTTCCCGAGTCCCCTGGCTTGCTTTGCAGGCAGCACCCACGAGTACAGCTCCTGCCCGGACGACGCTGTCTTCCGAAGCCTGGCGCGCGCCTACTCGGCCTTCAACCCCGTCATGTCCGACCCCGGCCGGCCGCCCTGCCGCAGGAGTGACGACGACAGCAGCTTCGTGGACGGGACCACCAACGGCGGCGCGTGGTACAGCGTGCCTGGCGGTGAGTCCCCTGCCCTCTGGCCCTGCGGCGGTGGGTGGCGTGTGGACGACAAGGCCCGTGTAGATTAGGGAGTGACCCGGACTGGAGCCTTCAGTCCCCACCAGTCACTGGGGAGACCGAACCCAGAGTTCTTCCGCCGGCGTTCACTTTCTGCACGAGTAATTACCGGGCGCAGTCTGGCTTTTGTGGTGTGTTTGACCAAGATGCTAATCGAAGAGGCGCAGGAAATGAGCGGAAGGTGTTCACTGGGAAAGTGTGAACTGAATGTTATTTATCTATTTATTTTTTTGAGACAGAGTCTCGCTTTGTTGCCCAGGCTAGAGTGAGTGCCGTGGCGTCAGCCTGGCTCACAGCAACCTCAAACTCCTGGGCTCAAGCAATCCTCCTGCCTCAGCCTCCCGAGCAGCTGGGACTACAGGCCTGCGCCACCATGCCCGGCTAATTTTTTCTATGTTTTTTTTTTTTTTTTTTGAGACAAGAGTCTCGCTTTGTTGCCCAGGCTAGAGTGAGTGCCATGGCATCAGCCTAGCTCATAGCAACCTCAAACTCCTGGGCTCAAACAATCCTGCTGCCTCAGCCTCCTGAGTAGCTGAGACTACAGGCATGCGCCACCATGCCCGGCTATTTTTTTCTATATATATGTTAGTTGGCCAATTAATTTATTTTTATTTATAGTAGAGACAGGGTCTCGCTCTTGCTCAGACTGGTTTTGAACTCCTGACCTCGAGCAATCCACCCGCCTCGGCCTCCTAGAGTGCTAGGATTATAGGAGTGAGCTACAGCGCCTGGCCTATGTATATTTTTAGTTGGCCGATTAATTTCTATTTTTAGTTAAGATAGGGGTCTCGCTGTTGTTCAGGCTGGTCTTGAACTCCTGACCTTGAGCGATCCTCCCACCTCGGCTTCCCAGAGTGCTGGGATGACAGGTGTGAGCCACTGCACCCGGCCTAAACTGAATGTCGTTAGTGACCTTGCTTTTCAAATCCTGGCCTCGGGGAACAAGCGAGCGTCCTCACTCTATGCTAGTCTGGCTTCGCTGCAGGTGAGCGGGAGCTAGGGCCTGCGGCACAGCCCCACGCACGCGTTCTCATTCAGGTGATGGGACTCTCTCTAGGGTGCTGTTTGGTGTCTCAGAGCAGGAGATGTCCTAGAGTTGTCCCGCAGCCCCCAGGTGCCCGGGTGGGGTGTCTGCAACCTGCTCCCGACGCTGCAGAGGGGCCTGTGCCGGGCGTCCCTGCCTACCTGCGTGGGTCAACCCCCCTTTGTGCTTTGCAGGGATGCAGGACTTCAACTACCTCAGCAGCAACTGCTTTGAGATCACCGTGGAGCTCAGCTGCGAGAAGTTCCCACCCGAAGAGACGCTGAAGAGCTATTGGGAGGATAACAAAAACTCACTCATTAACTACCTGGCCCAGGTAAACCAGTTCTCTGCACAAAAACTCACTCATTAGCTACCTGGCAAAGATAAACCCGTTTTCTGCACAAAAACTTGCTCATTAGCTACCTGGAGCAGGTGAGCCCGTTCTCTGGACAAGAACTCGCTCATTAGCTACCTGGCACAGGTGAACCCATTCTTTGCAGAAAAACTTGCTCATTAGCTATCTGGAGCAAGTGAACCCGTTCTCTGCACAAAAACTTGCTCATTAGCTATCTGGCAAAGATAAACCCATTCTCTGACACAAAAACTTGCTCATTAGTTACCTGGCGCAGGTAAACCTGTTCTCTGCATAGAAACTCACTCATTAGCAATCTGAAGCAGGTGAACCCATTCTCTCTGCACAACAATTCTCTCATTAGCTATCTGGAGCAGGTGAACCCGTTCTCTGCACAAAAACTCGCTCCTTAGCTTCCTGGTGCAGGTAAACCCGTTCTTGGACACAGAAACTCGCTCCTTAGCTGCCTGGTGCGGGTGAACCCGTTCTTGGACACAGAAACTCGCTCCTTAGCTGCCTGGCGCAGGTGACCCCGTTCTTGGGCACAGACATTTACCGTAGTCTGGTGAGAGGGGCCCGGGGAACCCACCTGTCCCGGAAGGAGGACGCTATTTGGAAGCAGGTGTCAGTGGTGGCTCACATTCCTTTGTCTCAGGTCTGTGGGTCGTGACTGTCCACTGAGAGCCGACATGGGGGACGTGTGGAGCAACGGGGGTCCTGTTTCTCAACAGCAAGAACTCAGGTGGTCAGCCACGGGGACCCCAGGGCAGCCCTGGCGGGGCCCTGGCAGGACACCTCCCTTGGGGAGAGCACGGGGGGAAGATCTCCCAGCAGCAAAGTCAGCCAGACAGTGTGTTTGGGGCAGAAGCAGTAAGATGCGGCTACTTGGTGTGTTCTCCACGTAGGCATCAAAGAGCGCCTGCTGAATACACGCTTCCCGCTTTATTTACATATTTTCCAGCAGAAATTTATCAAGCTCCTTTTGTGTCCCAGGCACTCCGTGAAGCCCCCAGGAAGGCTCCGTGTTAGGGAGGCCAGACACGCTGACACGAAGGCTGCAGACACCAGGCAGCGGCAGCCCGCAGGGCCCCCGGCCCGGTCGGGAGTTCGGGAAAGCCATCTGGGGGGCACTGTAGGGTTTCCCAGCGCTGATGCCAAGGAGGTCGTCACTCTGCTCAGCAATCGCAAAACACACTTAGCTGCTGCTGAAGGTGTCTCTCAGCTCTTGAGAAAAAACATGACACAAAACAAAATGAAATGCAAATTTATACCATCAGGAAAAAGGAGAGTATCTGCGATACTTACGGTGGCGGGTGGACATACATCCAATGCGTCTGATATTAATAGTTGTATCAGTTTATATAGAAATAAGCTGACAGTAAGTAGATGCAGTTATGCAGTCCTGTTTTATGCCACATGGAAGGAGAATTTGCAGTCTGCAGGTCCGTGTGCCCCGCCCGTGTGGTGTTGACACTACCATTGAGCCGTGTCAGGCAGCTAGCAGAGTGACTTTATGAGGCGTGCACACCATCTAAGCCGTAGAACGTTCCGGTTCAGGGAGTCGGCTGGTGCAAGGTCGTGCTGGCTGCCAGGGCTCTGCGCTGTTCTCCTTTGCTGACGGCGGTGGTGACCAGCAATGGAACACCTGGGCCTGGAGTCCAAGCATGGGCTAGTTCACAACTCGGGGAACACAGGTGACTGGGGGTCTAGCTTTGGAACTGCTGAGGAAATCTCTTGCAGAGGTTTTTTTTTTTTTTTTTTTTGAGACAGAGTCTTGCTCTGTTGCCCGGGCTAGAGTGCTATGGCATCAGCCTCGCTCACAGCAACCTCACACTCCTGGGCTCAAGCGATCCTCCTGCCCCAGCCTCCCGAGTAGCTGGGACTACAGGCATGTGCCACCACGTCTGGCTGATTTTTTTCTATATATATATTTTAGTTGGCCAATTAATTTTATTTCTATTTTTAGTAGAGACCAGGTCTTGCTCTTGGTCAGGCTGTTCTCGAACTCCTGAGCTCAAGCAGTGCTCTCACCTCAGCTTCCCAGAGTGCTAGGATGACAGGCGTGAGCCGCCGTGCCTGGCTATGTTTTCAAAACAAAGAAAAAGCTGCTGTTGTGTAGTTTGCCTTGTAACAGCTAGTTGACGATACAAGGTAATTCAGGGGATTGTTTGCGATGGTGCCTCTTCCGTTTCTCTCTAAATGAGTATCCAGCATTCCGTGTGACATCCCTGCTCTCTCCTGTCACTTATTTTCAGCCAAAATAACGTTGTTGGTGAGTTTAATCCCGAGGTGGTCACAGCGTATGTCTTCTTTCCCCAGAGTGAGCTAACATTTAAGGCCGTAAGAGAATGTTCTTGCTGATTGACAGAGTCCACAGAAGGGACGTGCAGGTGACCAAATGTAGAGCAAGAGGAAGCACTGAAACGTGCTCAGACTAGAACTTCACAAACACCATAGACTCTGCATCACATGGGAGGGGCGTCAGGGTCTTTCTTTAACTCGGGACAAGACACTCATTTCCGGGAGGTCCCGTCTCATTTCTCCGTTTAAGGAAAAGCAGAGTAAAAAGGGCACAAAACATCCAGCGGCCCTGTGAGCCCGTTTGGCTCCCGCACAGGGAGAAGCTGCCGTGTTCTGCCGGAAAGCGAGCAGATGCTCGATGTGGGACGGCGTCGGGCCATTTCTACGGCAGCGCGAATTGTGTGTCCTTGTCCTTCGCAGGTACACCGTGGGGTTAAGGGGTTTGTGCGCGACCTGCAGGGGAACCCGATCGCCAACGCGACCATCTCCGTGGAGGGCATAGACCACGACGTGACATCCGGTGGGTGTGCTGGCGGCGCTCTGCGGGCTCTCGCCTGACGCACGATGGGGGCAACAGTACAGGGCCACGGCGGCGTCTCGCTGCGGGCGGGTCGGCTGGCCAGCCCGGACGGTGCCGTGCGTGGGGAGGGCGGCGGTGGCCTTGGCTGCCTGGCCCGGGATTCCCTGCAGCTCTCGGGCACAGGAAAGTGAATTCCCTGGAGTTAGAACACCAGCGGCTTCCCAGTCTCCGTTAAGAGGCGCTAATGAGCTGTGAATCAGCGGGCGGTGGGAGGAAGATTGGAATTCTCATGCACTCACATTTCTCCATTTGAAAAATTATATATATATATGTACATTTTTAATTTCAGGATATTATGAGGGTACAAACATTTTGGTTACATTTTATGACTTTGCCTCACCCAAGCGAGGGTAAGAGGCGTGCCCTTCCCCTCTACAATGCTCACCATGTATATTAGTTGAGTTTACCCTCTAACCCTGAATCCCTGGAGAATATTACTGCCGTATGAGTGAGCACCGTAGTGTTGATCAGTTGGTGCCAGTTTGACGGCGTGTACAAGTGGAGCCTGTTCTTCTGATCTTGTGATGCCTCACTTTGGATGGTGGGCTCACACTGTATCCAGGAAAATATAAGAGGTCCTAGATCACTGTCGTTTCTTATAATTGAGTAATATTCCACTGTACACATATACCAAATTTTAATAATCCACTCATGAATTGACGGGCATGAGATATCACCTAACCCCAGTGAGACTGGCCTCTATCAAAAAAATCCCCAAACAACAAATGCTGGCGTGGATGTGGAGAGACCGGCACACTCCTACACTGCTGGTGGGACTGCAAACTAGTGCAACCTCTGTGGAAAGCAGTATGGAGATACCTCAAAGAGCTAAAAACAGAAATGCCATTCGACCCAGTAGTAGCACTATGAGGCATCTACCCGAAAGAGCAAAAGACACTCTATAACAAAGACACCTGCACCTGAATGTTTGTGGCAGCACAGTTCACTGTTGCAAGGACATGGGAACATTTCTCCACGTAACCATCTGGCAGCCCTGGTTGTGCAGGGTTAGTCCGGATGTATGGGGTGGAGGTGAGATGTCAGTTGTCTCTAGGGTTAGAGCCCACGTCCGTCTCCCAGTTTGGGGAAAATGATGCATTTTCCTGATGAATCTACCTGCTCCTGTCACCACACGTCAGCCCACCTCATTTCAGTTGTCCTTTGTTAGGGTATTTTCAGTGACCACGGCAATGCTTTCAAGCTGTGAACGCTTTATGCCCTTTCTTGACCTCGTAATGGATTAACCTTGAACTTGTTTCCCAAGTCTCACTGTGTCAGACATGGCCTCTTTCTTAACCTTCACATCTGAGGTTTGGATTTTTTTTTTTCCTAAATCTTTACCTTTTGTCCTCTAAAACTCTATTTACTCATATTTGTCAAATATTTATTTATTTATTTAGAGACAGAGTCTCGCTCTGTTGCCCTGGCTAGAGTGAGTGCCGTGGCGTCAGCCTAGCTCACAGCAACCTCAGACTCCTGGGCTCAAGTGATCCTCCTGCCTCAGCCTCCCGAGTAGCTGGGACTACAGGCATGCGCCACCATGCTTGGATAATTTTTTCTATATATTTTTAGTTGGCCAATTAATTTATTTCTATTTTTAGTAAAGATGGGATCTCGGTCTTGCTCATGCTGGTCTTGAACTCCTGAGCTCAAACCATCCTCCTGCCTCGGCCTCTCAGAGTGCTAGGATTACAGGCCTTGAGCCACTGCGCCTGGCCGACAAATTTGACAGCCCACTAGATGCCTTCCCAACCAACACTCCACGATGCTGCCTTCTGTCTGTTAGCTGTGGCGTGCTGCACAGATGTTATTTTCTCTGCATTGCATGATGTAAAAAGTTTAGAAAAATCTAAGCTAGGGAACAAATAGGTGCTGTGTTTCCCCGAAAATAAGACCTACCCATAAAATAAGCCCTAGCAGGATTTCGAAGCATTTGTGCACTAGACGCCTTATCCCGAAAATAAGCCCTAGTGATGGGTATGGCTACCCAGTGCATCTGCACAACCCATGCATTCCGTCGCAGAGCGGAAAAGAAGACGAGCAGCCCTTCTCATCTGCCCCGTCCTGACAGCTACTATCCCAGAGGTGACCGGAAAGGTGCGGGCAGCTCCACCAGCAAGGTCGGCTCCCCCTGTCAGGTCCCGGCTGTCCTGTGCGTGCTGCAAGCTGAGGCTTTGAGGGGAAAATAACACATTCCCTGAAAACAAGCCCCGGGGTGTCTTCTTGAGGAAAAATAAATACAAGACTCTGTCTTATTTTCCGGGGAACATGGTAGGAAGAAATGCGATCTGTGGAGTGGGCCTAGCATGCTCCGGGCCTTGGGGGGCAGGGCGATGAGCAGGAGCTGGCCTGCAGAGGGAGGCGGGAGGGACGGGAGGGGCATGGTCCTGGAGGCCTTGAAGTGTGTCAAGAAGAAGAAACAAAAAAAGGGTGAAGAAAGACAAACCACGTGACTGAACCATGGTTTTCCCAGTTTGGAATCTGCACTTCTTCCCGGGCGGCTCAGGGATTCCGGTGGGGCCAGCCTTGGCCGGGGACCGGGTCCGCACCTGTCTGGGCTCTAGCTGTGGGGCCAGGATACTCTGACCTGCTGCTTGGGGTCAGCTGTCTTTGCACCTGCTACTTCCGAACGGTTAGAAGATCCGTGGTTTTAGGAGGTTTGTTAGACAACTTAGCCTTCTTATCTATAGAGTAGCTGCAAGAAATGGGGCCCATGGAGAGACTCACACCCAGTTGGGTAGCATTTCACCGAATTCCCTGTGTGTCTAATTCGAAAGTGGGGAATGGAAGAAGTTGAGGCTTTGCCTGGACGCACGACTACGAGTTTCACGGATACGCCTTGTGCTCTGACACTGTGTTTCCTACAGCCAAGGACGGGGACTACTGGAGACTGCTCGTGCCTGGGAACTACAAGCTCACGGCCTCGGCCCCCGGCTACCTGGCAACAACGAAGAAAGTGGCGGTCCCTTACAGCCCCGCCGTTGGGGTGAGTAGAGGGCAAACGCTGAGCCCCGTGATAATAAATGAGCACTTAACCGCTGCCAGGCCCGTTCAAGTGACTCATGATAGCCCTGTGAGGTCGGCACTGTTGTGGTACCCATTTGACAGATGGTAAAACTAAGGCCTAACAGAGTTAAGTGACTTGCTTGCAGTCTCCTCGGATAATTTAATACCACCCAGGGTGAAAGTGTTAGCATTTCTCAGCTTTCGAAGAGAAAATAAAACTTTAAACACTTAAATTTTTATTTGCGGACATTGGTACCTCGATTTCAGTCTAGCTGGGATTCTGTTCCATGTGTGTTTTCTATTTTTAGCACCTAGCACCGTGCCTTAGTGTTTGAAATAAATAAATGATGCATACAAGATAATTTTAGGCATGAACCAAACATGTATTAAGCACATATTATAAATAAATCTCTGTATGTTAAGCAACTATCAAAATCCATATCTTTTTTTTTTTTTTTGAGAAAGAGTCTCACTCTATGGTCTGGGCTAGAGTGTCGTGGTGTCAGCCCAGCTCACAGCAACCTCAGACTCCTGGGCTCAAGTGATCCTCCTGCCTCAGCCTCCCGAGTAGCTGGGACTATAGGCATGCACCACCATGCCCGGCTAATTTTTTCTATATATTTTTAGTTGGCCAATTAATTTCTTTCTATTTTTGGGAGAGAGGAGTGTCACTCTTGCTCAGGCTGGTCTCGAACTCCTGAGCTCAAATGATCCACCGGCCTCGGCCTCCCAGAGTGCTAGGATTACAGGCATGAGCCACCTCACCTGGCCTGTTGAATTATGTCTTCAAAGCTGTTTACTCAAAGCATATTTTAAACACAATGGCTTTTGATTTTTTTTTTTTTATCCCCCTGAAAGTATTTTTTGTTAATCACAACAGATTTTTTTAGGATTGACCTTAATTCAAGTGGCTGGATTGAGCTTATTCTATAAACTCTGAAACAACTTTCTCTCTCTTTTTTTTTAAATTTAAGTTTTTAAGATACTTATGTGGTTTGATAACAATATGTTTGTTCTTGACTTTCCCCTTCAGGTTGATTTTGAGCTGGAGTCATTTTCCGAAAGGAAAGAGGAGGAGAAGGAAGAATTGATGGAATGGTGGAAAATGATGTCGGAAACTTTGAATTTCTAAAAAGGCTTCTAATTAGCTGCTTTTAATCTATCTATCTATATAATGTAGTTTGATGTAATGTGGCCATTTTATTTTAGATTTTGTGCAGTTAATATTTAACGTTGGCTTATTTTTTAATCACTAAAATATCAATTGATGTTACTTAAAATAGAGTGTTAGGTGAAAATACAAGAACTTGATCTATTTCATTCTCTTCTAATACATTAATTTTCCTACATCAGTTGCACAAAGGACTGTAGAAAGATTTAAGCAATCTTGCCGTTTTAGGATTAAATGCAATATTCCAGGTGTTCTTTGCAATAACAGGACTCTTTGAGTACTTCTAGCGTGTAAAAATTAGTGACGTTCTTTTAATGTAATTGGTGACAATGTCACACAATTAATGCCATTGAAAAGGCTGACAGATACAGCTGGGAGTTGTGAGCACTCTGCCGCGAGACTTAAGCGGTGCACAGTGTACATTATCGTTTTTCCCTTGTGTGACCACCACACACGCATGATCTCGTGAATGCATTTTGGATGGTGCGAAATGTACGTGTTTGCCAAGAGGTTTTGTGAAAAGAATAAAGATTGACTTGCTTGTCTAATACGTACGGGGTGACATTGTTCTATCGTTTAGTTAAAAGTTAAAAGTTCAGGGTTTTCTCTCGGTTGTAGACGGCCCAGAATCGTATTCTGGATGAATAAAGGTTAAAAACACGCCCGGCTGGCAGGGCGAGGAGGCTCACGCCTGTCATCCTAGCACTCTGGGAGGCTGAGGCGGGAGGATTGCTCAGAGTCAGGAGTTCGAGACCAGCCTGAGCAAGAGTGAGACCCCGCCTCTACTATAAATAGAAAGGAATTATCTGGACAACTTAAAATATATACAAAAAATTAGCCGGGCATGGTGGCACATGCCTGTAGTCCCAGCTACTCGGAAGGCTGAGGCACAGGATCGCTTGAGCCCAGGAGTTTGAGGTTGCTGTGAGCTAGGCTGACGCCACGGCACTCTAGCCCCGACAACAGAGCGAGACTCTGTCTCAAAAAGAAAAACAGAAAAAAAGCCCCAGTGCGCGTCCGTTCTCTGCGCTCTCGCTCCAGATTGGGGTCTCGCGATGAAACAAGCGTCCCCCTGCGGCGCCGTCTCCGCCCTCCGCGTCGGGGACGTGATTAGGTGACGAGTGTTTGCGAGTGCCCGAGGGCTCTGCGTGTCAGCGTGGCGGGCACAGACTCTGGTCTCGTGGGTCGGACGTGGACACAGACTCTACACACATCACACGCAAATTAACACGCCGTCCCACGAGGTGCGGGGAGGGACGGGGCGGGAAGGACAGAGCGGCCCGACGCAGACTGCGTGCGGCCGGCAGGCGGCGTGACGCTCAGGAGCCGGCCCGAGACGTGAGCGCGAGGCCGCGCAGGCTGCGTGAGGCCACGTGCGCATGCGCCTGTGCGTGCGGGCCGGGAGACGGCGTGACTCTCAGGAGCCGGCCGGAGACGTGAGCGCGAGGCCGCGTGCGCATGCGCCTGTGCGTGAGCGTGTGCGTGCGGGCCGGGAGGCGGCGTGACGCTCAGGAGCCGGCCCGAGACTTGAGCGCGAGGCCGCGCAGGCTGCGTGAGGCCGCGTGCGCGTGGTGGTGGGGCCGCTTCCGGGACCCCTCCGGGAGGTCTGCCGCCTTCCGCGCGAGTCCAGAGCCGCCTGGCGTCGTCTCCGTGCGGCCGAGGGGTCAGGGCGCGAGCAGGGCGGCGCGTGGGGGCGCGGCGGTCAGGCCACGGGCCAGGTGTGGGACGGTCCCCGTCGCTGCTCTCAGCCCGTCGCCTGGAGCTGAGCCGCGGCCGCCGTGACCGCGCTGGGCCGTGGTCCGGCAGGCCCAGCTGGCGAGGGGGCGTGGGCTGCAGGAAGGCCCCGCAGTCCGCGGTGGGCACAGCAGCAAAGGTGCAAAGGCCCTGGGGTGGGCGGGAGCACGGCTGCGGGAGGACTGCGGAGGGCGGGAGGATCGCGGAGGGTGGGATTATTGAGGAGGGCGGGATTATTGAGGAGGGCGGGAGGACCGGGGAGGGCGGGAGGATCGCGGAGGGCGGGATTATTGAGGAGGGCGGGAGGACCGGGGAGGGCGGGAGGACCGGCGAGGGTGGGAGGACTGAGGCAGGGAGATGGGAGGATAGAGAGGGCGGGAGGACTGAGGCGCGGAGGGCGGGAAGACTGGGGAGGGCGGGAAGACTGGGGAGGGCGGGAGGACTGGGGCAGGGAGACGGGAGGACTGGGGAGGGCAGGAAGACTGGGGAGGGCAGGAAGACTGGGGAGGGCGGGAGGACTGAGGCAGGGAGACGGGAGGACTGGGGAGGGCGGGAAGACGGAGGAGGGCGGGAAGCCTGGGGAGGGCGGGAGGACTGAGGCAGGGACGGGAGGCCGGAGAGGGCGGGAGGACTGAGGCAGGGAGACGGGAGGACCGGGGAGGGCGGGAAGCCTGGGGAGGGCGGGAGGACTGAGGCAGGGACGGGAGGACCGGAGAGGGCGGGAGGACTGCGGCAGGGAGACGGAAGGACTGGAGAGGGCGGGAGGACTGCGGCAGGGAGACGGAAGGACTGGAGAGGGCGGGAGGACTGAGGCAGGGACGGGAGGACCGGGGAGGGCGGGAGGACTGAGGCAGGGACGGGAGGACCGGGGAGGGCGGGAGGACTGCGGCAGGGAGACGGAAGGACGGAGAGGGCGGGAGGACCGCGGCAGGGAGACGGGCGGGCGCGAGCAAAAGCCCGGGAAACGGACGGAGACGGCACCGCGCTGCACCGGCAGGGCCGGCCTGTGGATTTCGGCGTTGTGACGCTTCCTCCAGACGGGAGGCCGCCCGCGGCGCTCCTCGGACCCTGGCGCGGCTCTGCCGGACCCTGGCGCTCCTCGGGACCCTGGCGCTCCCCGGGACCCTGGCGCGGCTCTGCCGGACCCTGGCGCTCCTCGGGACCCTGGCGCGGCTCTGCCGGCCCTGCGGCCTGCGCCGGCGCCACGTGGGGGAGCCGCCAGCCGCGCCGCCGGTCCGTGTCGGTGTGTTTCCACGGCTGACCGTGTCGTCGACTGGCGGCGGCTTTACCGGGCGGGACCCCGTCGCAGCCCGAGGACGTGCGATGGGCCGGATGACGCGGGCAAGGACCGTGGGCGTCCACACCGGCGGCTTCGAGAGCGGAAGGGGCGCACCTGCGACGCGGGGACAGCAGGTGCGACCCGGAGCGTGGGGGCGGGCGGGGCGGCGCCTACGGAGAGCCGGGCTCCACAGCTGCGGAGGTCTGCAAACCCCGGGAAGAGCCCTGAGCGAGAGGAAATGCACCGCGTTCCCCGAAACGAGACCTACCCGTAAAACGAGCCCGGGCAGGACGTCTGAGCACGTGCGCCACGGACGCCCCACCCGAAGTCAGCCCTGGTGACGGCGCGGCCGCAGACGCCCCTCCCGAAGTCAGCCCTGGTGACGGCGCGGCCACAGACGCCCCTCCCGAAGTCAGCCCTGGTGGCGGCGTGGCCACAGACGCCCCACCCGAAGTCAGCCCTGGTGACGGCGCGGCCGCAGCGCGTCTGCACGACCCGTGCGCGGCGTCGCGGGGCGGGAAGGACACGAGCAGCCCTTCCTGTCCGCCCGTGACAGCTCTGTGGCTCCACAGGGGAGATTGGGGCGGTGGTTCTAAAGGAAACAGAGTCGCAGACATTCGGGATGGATTCGGGGTCTGGAGAGCGAGGAGGATGTTCCAGAAGAAGACGACCTCGCTCTGTTTGAATCATTGTAGATGGTTGTGCTGTACCTAAGAAAAATAGCACATCGCCTGAAAATGAGCCCCGGGGTGTCTTCTTGAGGAAAAGTAAACACAAGACCCCGCCTTGTTTTCTGGGAAGCACGGTAGGACCGGGGCACACCTGATAGACCACACGCAGGGTGGGGGGGCACACCTTCTAGACCACACAGAGTGGGGGTGACACACCTGATAGACCACACAGAATGGGGGGGCACACCTGATAGACCACATGCAGGATGTGGGGGCACACCTGATAGACCACACGCAGGGTGGGGGGGCACACCTGATAGACCACACTCGGGGTGGAGGGGCACACCTGATAGACCACACTCGGGGTGGGGGTGGCACACCTGATAGACCACACGCAGGGTGGGGGGGCACACCTGATAGACCACACTCGGGGTGGGGTGGCACACCTGATAGACCACACTCGGGGTGGGGGTGGCACACCTGATAGACCACACGCAGGGTGGGGTGGCACACCTGATAGACCACACTCGGGGTGGAGGGGCACACCTGATAGACCACACGCAGGGTGGGGTGCTGTCTCCGTCACCGCGACTCCACTCCCCTTGCCCGCGCACAGGCCCGTCCCCACAGAGACCATACATGTAGAGCCACAGCAAAGCAGGACGTTGAGCTCCGGTTTTGGGATCTCCGACGGGTCACACGACACTCAGTCTCTGGCTCAGGTGTGGGGTTGGCCAGTCCGCTCCAGAGACCGTGCCCTGAAGGGACAGGCCACCTGCGTCCCCAGCCCCTGTACAGGGTGGAGCAGGGTCGGGACGGGTGGCAAACACGCCCCGGAGAGAGGGACATGCCCGGCCCGCGCAGGCCGCACTGACCTGGACCCGTGCTGAGCGAGCAGGTCTCGGCCTCCTGCTCTGGGGCCGGAGGAGGCCCCGACCTGAGTGGGGTCCAGGTGCGAGAGGAGCCCCTCCCCGCTCTCTCCACATGCCCGCGCTCCTCTTTTCTCTTTTTTTAAATTTCAGCATATTATGGGGGTGCAGATGTTAAGGTTGCGTATATTGTCCTTGCCCTTCCCCCCACAAGTCTGAGCTTCAAGCGTGACCATCCCCCAGACGGTGCACACCTCACGCGTTATGTATGTACATACCAGTCCCCTCCCCACCTCCCACCTGCCTGACACCCGATGAATGTTATTCCTATGTGTGCACTTAGGTGCTGATTGTTAGTACCAATTTGCTGGTGAGTCCATGTGGTGCTTGTTTTTCCATTCTTGTGATACTTCACTTAGTAGAATGGGCTCCAGCTCCATCCAGGAAAATACAAGAGGTGCTGGATCACCGTTGTTTCTTATCGCTGAGGCACAGGGTTGCAACCGGCTCTTCAGTCCACAAATCTAACTTCCCTTTCTGCAATTGGCTTATCAGTAGTGAAGCTGCAGTTTAGCCTGTCTGTGGTCTCCTGCGTCTTATTTTTCAGCTGGTTCTGCACTCAGGAAGGTTAGAAATGGGTAATTTATGTCGAATCCCCAAAATCTTTAAGAGGCATGATATTTTAATATATATATATTTTTTATTTTTATTTATTTTTTTTGAGATAGAGTCTCACTCTGTTGCCTGGGCTGGGGTGCCGTGGCATCAGCCTAGCTTACAGCAACCTCAAACTCCTGGGCTCAAGTCATTCTCCTGCCTCAGTCTCCCAAGTACCTGGGACTAACAGGCATGTGCCACCATGCCCGGCTAAATTTTTCCATATATTTTTAGTTGGCCAATTAATTTCTTTCTATTTTTAGTAGAGACGGGGTTTTGCTCCTGCTTAGGCTGGTCTGGAACTCCTGACCATGAGCAATCCTCCCCCCTCGGCCTCCCAGAGAGCTAGGATGACAGGCGTGAGCCACCGCGCTTGGCTGATATTTTAATATTTTAGGTGTGGCCTGTCCTTCTGTACAAGTGAGGTGGGACACGCTTTCTCTTCTGTCTGCTGTGCGTCTCCCAGCGTGGTCTGCATGGCGTTGCTGGAGGAACCATCACGTCACTGCCTCCTGTGAGCTCAGAATAAAGGCAACTCTGAACCGAGATCTTTGGGGTTGGAACTGAAGATGAGAGCTGTGAAGCAGACGGTGAGCCTCGAGCTGAGATCAGACAGATGTGAATTACGAATGAGAGGGTCGGATTGTTTCAGGCCGCGAAACTCAGAAAGGGAGGGGGCTGAGTGGCTGATTTTAATGCAATGCTGAACACATTTTGAGATCTGCTTTCTTTTTTTTTTCTTTGTTGACAAAATCAGACACATTGCTGTGGAAGGAATAGCTAATCTTAACTCACATTTTGATTTCCAGTTTGCATGAGCAAAGATAAGCATCACTTGCAGAAAGGGAGCTGAGAACTTTGACATTCACATTTTATTTGCACAGACAACCTCTGAAATCTTTCCACGGCTCGGTGTTGTGGGAGCCGGAAAAACTGTTGTTTTTTTTGCAGCATATGACTCAACCTCTCTTTTCAGCATGCCCGTGAGGCTTGTCTTCTGCGGCGAGCGCCGGCGGCATGTGGAGTCTCTGCCCCGAAATGTCAGGAGAGACCACACTGGAGCTCGTGTCTCACCTAGGAATGCCTCAAGCCCTGGGTTTGCTGTCCTTGCACAAACGTCACCCCGGGCAGTACAGACGCGCCAACCTGACCCCCCACCTCTCGGTCTGTCTGCGGGACCCTCGGCCTGCAAACCGCTCCGGGCCTGGGTTTCTGGTCAGAGGGAAACTCGGTGCCATGGGTCCGATTTCAGCCGTTGTGAAACTCCCCGGGAAGGAGCCAGCGCTTGGAGAAGCAAGGTGAGGATCTGGCTAGGCCGGGTGGAAGGTCGTATTGAGCACGGTCAGGGACGATGAATCAGAAGGGGAGATCCCCTGATGAAGCTCTCGGGAGTTGTCTTGGTGCTGGGGCCGCAGGGCTGCAGCGTGCTCGGGGTGTTGCGTGGTTTCCTCGCCCTCATCCAGACGCCCACCCCTCCCCCACTCGCCCAGCGCCCTTCCTCCATCCCGTCCCTCAGGGATGTGCTCGGCGCCCACGGGGTGCTCCCCGTGTCCTCCCAGGGACCCAGCAGCACCTGCTCTGGCCCGGGGGGCCCCCCACCCGGTGTGGCCGCCAGCTCTGAGGCGGCTCATGCTCGCGCCAGATGAGCCCAGTCGCAGCTCGTGTCTGCCCGGCCTCGGCCCCCCTGCCCGCGTGGCGTCACCTCTGCCGCGTGACCTGGAGAACCGGCTCTTCTCGATCGAGCGCGTCTGTGCTTTATGACGTGTTGTTTTGATGCATTCTCTTGTGCCGATTGCTGCACTTGTGTTTGGGGGAGGATTTATTACCTCTTCCAAAAGAAGGCCCTTTAAGGTGATTTTAAAGCACTTTTCAAACAAATGCAATAGCTCCTGCTTCATGGTTTCTTTCTTTCTTTCTTTCTTTCTTTGAGACAGAGCCTCACTCTGTTGCCCGGGCTAGAGTGAGTGCCAGCCTCGCTCACAGCAACCTCCAACTCCTGGGCTCAAGCGATCCTCCTGCCTCAGCCTCCCGAGTAGCTGGGACCACAGGCATGCGCCACCATGCCCAGCTAATTTTTTTCTATATATATTACTTGGCCAATTAATTTCTTTCTATTTATAGTAGAGACGGGTGTCTCACTCTTGCTCAGGCTGGTTTCGAACTCCTGACCTTGAGCAATCCTCCCGCCTCGGCCTCCAGAGAGCTAGGATTACAGGGGTGAGTCACCTCGACGGGCCTTACTTTAAACTCTGAGTTTGAAGAGTGAGTGACGAGGAGGAAACAGCGCTGAGTCTCACCGGGGCTTCCTAAACTTGCTGCCGAGGCTTACCCAGCTACGCCAGCCGCTGCCGTGGGGTCTGGGTCTGGTTAGGGAAGATGAAAGCGGTGGGTGGTGCAGAGCTCTTTGCTTAAGACCTAAAATACACGTCCCTGTGCATCAAATACACAGAAGCATCTCCAAGCTGCGTCTGTGTAATTAAAGAGAAAAGAGCCAACCTCCTGCGCGCTTACCTCGGGCTCCGACCCGGCGTGTGCGTTCTGTCCCGCCCCAGGAGGCGCCGGGCGGCCGTGGGCAGGAGGCTCAGGCCCGGGCTGTGGTGGGGTCCCTCTCCTGGGAAGGCCCTCCAGCTCCTGCCCATGCAGACTGGGGAGAGTTTTCTCCTCCTTTTGCCCACGGACGCGGGAGTGGGGGCGCTGCTTCGGGGAGTCGAGGCACAGGCTTCTGGATTCCTGCGTGGGCAGCCGTGAGCCGCCTGCTCCCACGGCCTATGTGTGGCCTGCCGGGGTGAACAAGCCGCTGGCCCCGTGTCACGTCCCAGAGTCTTGGGGACCGTCCCCACACAAGACGGCAGAAGAGCAGAAAGTCATTTTTGTTGTCCTTCCAGGAATCCCTTTCCAACAGAGTCTCACTCTGGCCCGGGCTAGAGTGTCGTGGCATCAGCCTCGCTCACAGCAACCTCAAACTCCTGGGCTTCAGCGATCCTCCTGCCTCAGCCTCCCGAGTAGCTGGGACTACAGGCATGCACCACCATGCCCAGCTAATTTTTTTCTCTCTATTTTTAGTTGGTCAATTAATTTTCTTTCTATTTTTAGCAGAGATGGGGTCTCGCTCTTGCTCAGGCTGGTCTCTAACTCCTGACCTCGAGCGATCCTCCCACCTCGGCCTCCCAGAGTGCTAGGATGACAGGCATGAGCCACCACGCCCGGCCTATCCATGGGTTTTTGCAACGTGAGACACGATGCCCACTCTGCCTGCATTTCTGCTTTCTGTTTTCCTGATCAGCTACCTCACGGGCACATTGGCTCTGTCCGAGCTTCCATGCCTTCCCTGGGCCTCCCTTTCTCCTTCTCTGTCTCCTTCAGGTAGCACCGTCACCTGCTGTAGCGTGAGAAGGGAGTTCCTGGTGACCTCCTGGATCTCGGTGGAGAGAGCCCCACAGAGAATATGACAAGTGCCGGCGTGGTTCTCATTTACCTACGACAAGGCAGGGAAAGAGGGAGACGAATCAAGGAACAAACTGTTCACCATCTTACTATTTTCGGGTGAGTCTCAGAGACCCTCTCTGTGATAAACGTAAGATTTTAAGAATCTTAACAGCCCTGTCTCCAGGCCGTCTCTCACGCCGCACCCAAGACAGAGGCCGGCGTGTCTCCAAGTCTGTGTGGGTGCTTCCTCTGTCTAACAGCGAGTCCCAGCGAGAGGCGTTCTGTCCTGTGCACGGGCCGCACCCGTAATTCCGATTATCCGACTCGTGGAAAACATTTTATTCCCTGGAACAAAGAGCACAAGAGAAGTCCCTGCTTCTTGGATGGGAGCGCTCGCTGGGCCGTGGGGCTGGGCCCGCGTCTCGGTTTCCTCCTGTGAATGTGCTTCCCTCCCCCGCCCTGCAGAGGGGCCCTGGCCAGGTGAGGGCTGGAGACCCTGTTCTTCCCGATCCGTCCTTGCCGGCTGTCGGCCAAGCAGCCGAGCTCACAGGCACATGCCAGTGCTCCCCGCTTACAGGGAAAGCGAGTGGGCGTGTTCCAGCTTGTACAGCACACGCGCTTTCCTTTCTGTGCTCTCCTTAGAAGTGAAGGGGTTTTTGCCGAGGAGAAGACGAGGCCAACCAAACGGACCAGCCACCCTTGTTAGTCGAAGCCAGGCGTGGCGAGAAAGGAGAGTGAATAAGCTGCCAGCCCAGGCCTATTTAGCAGAGACAGAATAACTCTTTGCAGATCTTACGGTTGTGTCGGGTGTGCTGGAGCACGTTGTCATCTTGAAGATGCTGTTTTCCTCAACCACAAAAGCTGAACAAACATTTCTAGGCATTTAAGAGTCAGTGGAGAGCAATAAAGCACATTTATTAGAAGATGCATGATTTTGTGTAACTCAGGCGTTTCATGGTTCCAGCCAGTGCCAGAACACGAGCAGAGGCATTTGTGCCCACGCACGTCACAACGGAAAGAGGTCGACTTCGCCTCCCTCTGCCCCCGCTGCCCCCGGCCCCCCTCCCCCCACGCTGGACCCGAAACCCCCCCACCCCGGCCGCCAGGACGTCAGAGGAGGAGGAAGATGAATGGGTTTCATTTCCCAAATACGGCGTTCCCTCCGTAAACCCAGTTAAAGTGATTTATCAGAAAGGACGTGATCGTGAAAGTTGCCCACTGGGCAGATAAAAGATGTGAGAACTCAGGTTTCCACTCGGGTCATGTCAGGACCAGCACCAACCGGTCCAGCAGGGGGAGGACGGTGGCCTGGTTCCGGGGCCGGGACCCATGGCCGGCAGGGGGCAGTGTGCGCCAAGGAACGGCTCAGGAAACCTCTTTTCCCAGCTTCAAAGCAGTTTAGAAAAGACTCTGGAGAGAGGTATCTGTGTGCTAGGAATAAGGAAATGTCAAGGCAGTTTTTTTTGAGACAGAGTCTCACTGTGTTGCCCGGGCTAGAGTGCTGTGGTGTCAGCCTCGCTCACAGCAACCTCAAACTCCTGGGCTCCAGCCTTCCAAGCAGCTGGGACTACAGTGCGCCACCATGCCCAGCTAATTATTTTTGTGTGTATATATATATAAATATATATTAGTTGGCCAATTAATTTCTGTCTATTTTTAGTAGAGACGGGGTCTCGCTCTTGCGCAGGCTGGTCTTGAACTCCTGAGCTCAAATGATCCGCCCACCTCGGCCTCCCAGAGTGCCAGGATTACAGGTGTGAGCCACCGCGCCCGGCCTGTGAAGCTAGTTTTTAAGAAGTGCTGCAGAGCCTGATCACCCTAGGAGTGAGCGACGGTCTCCCTAGTGCTGAGCCCTCGGACGATCCCGGTTTGTTAGTGGGTTTGGAATAAGCTGCCATCATCTTGTAATGTTCCTTTCTCTTTCCCCGAGGGAGGTTTGGCAAGACCCAGATACGTGGAAGTCTGTGGAGATGGAGCTGCTTTAGTTGTAGAAAGAAAAAAGAGAGGAAAACACCTTGAGCCCAAGCAAATCACGCTGTGCTCGGCGGCCCAGGCCAGCAGAGTTCAGGGGTGACCGCCCCGTCCCCGCTGTGGGCACTGGTCACCTGCACGTTCTCACCCTGGTTCTTAGTCTCTTTCCAGCGTATGTAGAAGCCCCTCTCGTCTCGTCAGGGGACCTCACCAAGCAGGGGACCTCACCAAGCAGGGACCTCACCAAGCAGGGGACCTCACCAAGCATGGACCTCACCAAGCATGGACCTCACCAAGCA